AATCAGCCTCAAGGGAAAGGGGTTGTGGTTTGATCGCTGTGCACCTGCACCTGCATGAGTGTGTGTTAGTGTGTGATGAAGGAGAGGCTGACTGACTGACTGACAGGCCTGCGCCCTGTGATCCCCTGCATGGCATCTGGTGGGGCTTACAAATGATTAACAAAGTACCTGCAATCACATGTACACACACACACCCCCACAAAAAAAAAAGCAGTTGTCCCCATTTTACAGGTTGCTCCCTTAATACCCCCCACCCCCAGCCCCCCTGCAGTCAAGCTTCACCAATCACAAACAAACACCCAGTGTGTGGTTACAAATGATGGTGCGTATGTGTGTGTGTGTGCGCACAGGCCATGTATATACACAGTCTGTCAGTAGTGATGAATAGTTCATATTTCCCAAATCAGACCCCAGTGATGCTGGAGGGGGGGGGGGGGGGGGTCAAAGGGGAGGATAAAGATGACACAACTAAAAAAAAAAAAAGATGCAGAAAAGTGTTTTTTTTTAAATAGCCCAACTTCCTGTATTTATTTATTTATTTTGTGAATTAAACTGAAAGTAAAAAAAAAAAAAAAAAACTGTTTGTGAATGATAACTGTAATGAAATGTAAAGAAAACATAGAGTGTGAATGCCGAGAGCTAAATGACGTCTTGCTGCAATTTATAAATGAAGTTTAAAGTTAAAATAATCAAAACAAAAGCTCAAAGCTAAAACCAGCAAAACAGAAGCTTTAAGCTAAAAAGCAGCAAGCATGCTGAAGGAGATTTCAAAGATCACAATGTTCTTCGTCAATGTGGAGAATTTTATATAATTCCATAAAAATAAGTGTTAATGAAGTTCAACTTTTCATAAAGTACAACAATTACAAGAAACATCTCACAAAGCCACAATATCCTGAATGAGATGAACATGTTGATATATGAATGGTTAAAATAGATGATTGTACGCTGAAAGTTACAATCTTAAAATAAAAAAGTAACAAAAAAGAAGCAGGAAAACAATTGTGCAAATGCTGACTCGGCATTCACACAATAAAACACAAATTATAAAAGACTGATGCGCAAAGCAAGAACGAATAAAGTGATTAGCATTTAAAAAAAGTTTAAAAAAAGCAAAATATAAAAATGGTAAATGGACTGTATTTATATATCGCCTTTCTGTCTTATCAAGATACTCAAAGCACTTTACACTACAATCTGTGCCTCATTTACACATTCATACATCGCTTTACTATTTCTGTACAAAGACTAATCAGTGCTTGATCACATTCGTACACCGATGGGACACACATCGGCGACATTGAGGGGTTCTCTTGCCCAGGGACACTTCAACATGTGACTGCTAGTGGAATCAAACCCCCAACTCTCCCATTGGAGGATGACTGCTCTAACCACTCAGCCACAGCCGCCCCAAAACGTTAAAACAAACTGTAGATAAAACTGAACCATCAGAAAGTGAAGAATGAAGAGGAAGAAGTTTGGGAAGTGGTTTAAAAGAAAGAGACATGAAAGGAAAAAAACAAGAGAAGAAAAGACGGAAGAGGAGGTGGACTGGTGGGCAAAGGGGGTTCACAAGCCTGTCATGATAGACAGGAACAACACCACCAAGGCCTACAGTAAGATTGTAGGTAAAGACAGCAATACATCAGCCTAAATGAATTCACTAGCTCACTTCAGCAAAAACACACACACACACACACACACACACGTGCACGTGCACACACACACAAACAGTCGCCTGGTCTCTAGTGGTGGTGTCTTCTTTGACAGCAACATTAGTCTCAGGGATAAAAGTGAAAGAGAATTGGATTTTCTTCTGCTGGGGGTGAAGACTGCTGGTCACATTTATCTCCACCCGGAGCGTGTGTTGTGTGTGGCGTATGGCTCTGTGTGTGTGTGTGTGTGTGTGTGTGTGTGTGCTGTTTTCAGACTGTGGTGCATGGCGAGAAATGACACAAAGTTGACCAGCTGATTTCTGCTCTCCTTACAGAAATAGAACGTTGATCAGCCACCTTCGTAAATTAAACAGTTGCTGGAACTGATTCACATGAAAACGGACAAAGTCTTCTCAACTTTCTGTTCTTATGAGCAGAGTGACATGCTGGAAGTTGTGTTTATGATTATGGACCTTGTAAATGTGAATGCATGTATGTTTTTTGGTGAGAGCCATCCGTGCATGTAAATGTAGCGTTCTATAAAGTAGACAGCCATGAAATGGAAAAAAGGCTCATAAAAAACTACCCTGAAAAACCAATTATGAGTGTGAGTTTGTGAATGTGTAAGGCATGTGTGTGTTATGTGTGTGTGTGAGTGTGCAGGGGGGTCTGCACTAAGAAGGAGAATATTGCCTTCAGGTTCAAGGTGGTTGAAGGAAGGCGGTCAAGAAGGAAGCACAATGAAACACGTTTATTCTGTTGTCTCAGCTAAGAGGAGCATGTGAGTCGGGTGTGTACTGATGCTATCCTCACTTAGCCATTAGCCTGCACCCAGGGCTTAATTTGAGCTGGATCCTGCTGGATCAGGATCCGGAAATTCTCATATTTTGACACAGTGTATTCCGGTAACAGTTTGCTTGGATCTGGTAACTCTCAAGTTATGTAAGGAAGCTTTGTTCTCAAACCTTAGATTTGTGATGATTGTGGCTATACCCAGATGTAAGGACCAATGAGAACAGAGACCAAGACAGAATCACATCACAAGATTCACCAAAATACCATAATTTTTGCTGCATAAGTCGCAGTTTTTTGCATAAATTAGCATGCCTGTGACTTATACAGCAAAGTGACG